GTCACCAAGAGCTGTTGGGTTTTGTTTTTTTTTAATTATCAGTAAGGCATGACTGGAACAACTTAACATGTAATAGTTAAAAGGTTCATTAGAAAATCTGTGGATTTTCCTTTCCTTTAATGTGAGCAAACCTAACTATATGAGACAAAGAACCAAAACAAAAATAACTCGTTAATGGATTAGGAATATAGTTTTTGTTTAACAAACAACTCACATCATTCATCAATTGTTTCATATTTCACTTCCTGACACTTTTGAGATGGGGTATATATGTATTATCTTACATTTTTGTCAAGAATATGGAACAATTCAGTCCAGAACTGGTATCTGGCTCCCAGCCTCCTGTGTTAGAACAGGAACCCAGCATAATATCGCCAAGTCAAACACAGAGATAATCATACCTACCTGTGGGAATGAGGGAGACTACAAGAGATCATGGACATGGGAGGTCCTGTAACAATGCCAGCGACATGGGCTTTGTGTAGGGAAGATGTTTGTTAACTATACATTGAGGTTTCTTGACAGCTGAACATATTTAGTTTTTGCTACTCAAAATTCTCATTTTCCTCAAAACATCAAATTTATACCCTATCTAAAAGAAATTTATAAGCTCTTGTTGGAAAGAAATTAATAGTGTTTCTTTAAATGGTACACTGTTCTTAGCCATATATTAGGGAGAAATGTTAATCTGTTAATGAAAATTCTCTGCCCTTGAATACATTCCTGTCTCTGTAACTTTTCTTGTTCCATTTCCTAGGAAAGTTCTAAAGGAATTTACTAAATTTTATGTAAAACAAACAAGAATTCCTAAGATTCTGCTAAAATAAGTTTGGGAAAATTGAGTTAAACAAAATCAACAGTTTAATACAGAACTTGTCAGAGTCTTTTACTTTATACCATTTAGCCTTGTGACTCCAGCCAGGGATAGACTAGAAAAACATTTTTAAAAATCACTTGACTGTTCAACTGATAAGAGATACTATACTTGATCTTAGCCAAAGCGCTGAGAAGCAGCCTGGAGAGTATTCTGCTAAGTGAAATACGCCAGCCAGAGAAAGTGAAAACCATATGATCTCACTTATATGTGGAACCTAATGAACAAAACAAACAAAATAGAAACAGACTCATAGACACAGAGAACAGACTGACAGCTGTCAGAGGGGAGGGGGGGTTGGATGAAAAAGTTGAAGGGATTGAGAAGTACAAATTGATAGTTACAGAATAGTCATGGAGATGTAAAGCTCAGCATAAGAAATAGTCAATACTATCACGATAACTAGTTTGGGGCCAGGTTGGTACTTGAAGCAGCAGGGGGACCACTCTGGAAAGTACATGGTTTTCTAACCACTTGGCTGTACACCTAAAGCTAATACAGAATAACACTGAATATTAACTGTAATTGAAAAATCACGACTACAAAACTTTTCACAGACCGTCCTTTTGGAAACAGTGTTCAAGCCCCTGTGCTTTGGGAAACACTGGTGGGATCAGTCGTTTTCAAACTGCCTTCTGAGAAGTCCTTGAGTTTCATGGCAGCATTTCAGAAACCAAAAGGGCAGAGAGAACCCTGACTAACAGGGCTCCAGCCTTTTCTGTGCATATTGGGTATCTGGTGATATTTCCTTTAGAGAAAAGGAAAGGAGTGTGCTCTTAAAATATGCTTGAAAGGTACTAGTTTTTAAATATACTCATTGTATGTTGAACTGAATTGGAGCCATATCTATATATGCACCTTGCTCAATGCCTAGCACTGCACATCAGTACCCTCAAAAGACTGGTGAGTGGTAAAGCCTGCTTAATAGATGATTTTAGTTATAAAGTTAACATCTGACATGAAAATTAACATATAACTATATTAGTGACAGCTGAGAAAATTATTTCAAAAATATATAATTTAATTGTTCTTGAAGAAAGTAACGCAGCTCGAATATCAGAATAATTTCTAGCAAATTTACACTATTTTGCCACGTGTTCTAACTTGCTCTGTCTAAAAGAACAAAAAAATCCCCACAAATTTCACAGTGACCACTCAGTGACCAAAATCAGTGTTTCCTTTGCTCTATCTGTTCATTCTCTTCCATGAAAAAGGGGTGTCACTGCCTGAATTACAGACTTATATAACCAGAAGCAGGAACGGTCTGGATCTGTGACAATCTTGTGAGCCTGGGCAATGATGGGGGACCCTTCTAGATAAAAATGTCAAGTCAGAGAAGTTCTCCTGGCTGCCATACCCTTTGCTTCAGTGGACGGGTTTGAAAGCCCCCCCC